ATCACCAAAAACGAAATATGCGAGAAGGCTTATCATACCTAAAACTAATAAATAATGGATTTCAATGATAGTTATATTTTAATAGACTAAAAACAAAACAAAAGAAACAACATAAAATCGAACTGATATACAAATTAAACATACCTAATATTTTCTTATTAAAAAAAAAACCAAATTAACTATCTCATCCTGCACAAGGTGCGGGTTATTCATAGGACCTGAGTTTTTTTAGATAACAAAACCACTAACTCCATCATTCTTGCTAATCAGTAGTAGAGAAGAGTAAATAAGTGTGTTTTATTTGGTTAAAAATATTTAAAGAAATATTCTTTAATGAATTAATTATTTATATTTTACAATAAATTTGATTTGATATAAGATGACACTAAATAATTAATTTTAGTCATTGTGTTATCACCATAAAATCACAATCGCAATTTAACCAAAAAATAATATTTAAAATATAGATATATAATTGGACGATATCAATACCCGAAACAACCAATCCAAAACAAACTAATATCCAAATAAAACAGATTTAATATCTTCTTATCTTCAATAATATAACAAATTTAATCATCTCATCCCGCGCAAGGCGCGGGTATAATCCTAGTTGATTTAATGTTTTGTCAGAAATTAAGGTAGAAAGTTGCTTCATCGCCTTGTCACCCTGTAATTGGCGATATCCCAATGGAGAAGCATTGTGCAGCAACTTCTGTGTGAGATCTCATCATAGATCCGGACATTGTAATGCTCATGACCAATGTTGTTGTGTTTTTTAAGTATGTGTACGAGATGAAATCATCTTATCATATGTTTTAAATCATCTTATCATATGTTTTAAGTATTTACCAGATAAAAATTAGTTTGCTTAAATTTGAGTAATATTTATTTGAAATGAAGAAAACTAAAATTACATGACAAAAAGAATCATAAGATTTTGAGTACATTGTAAATACAAAGATATTCACTCTTTCCTAATGAAACCAACATTTATATTTTGTCATCATCAATAGATTATATATGTTCAAATCAAACTAGTGCAGTCCAACAAGAAACATGCATTTACAAAAGAGAGAACATGTAAATATTTACATACAAAAGCTAAAACAAACTATGGGGGCGGGGGATTATTGGGGTAAGAATTCTAGAAGAACTATTAAATTTTGAGATTTCATTGTTATTGTTTTATGCATTTTTAAAATCTAAGTAGAATCCATTATTATTGGGGTGAGAACTTTTAAATTTCACTCAAAATCCTTTGTTATTGAAAAATTTAGTTTTCATTGATTTTTAAATTCTATTAAAATCTGTTATTGAGAATTTTTTTTTTTGTTTTTACTCATAAAACACAACTTTGAGAATATCATCTATACTCATAAAAATTTTCAAAATCATAAAAAGATCAAGAGATTTATTAAATTTGAAAAGAGTTATAGTAATTTTTTCATATTTAAAAAGTTTATCAAAATATTTTAGTATAATGATTTGAAGAATCTAGAGTTTTTATACGAGACATGTGAAGTTTTGTATTAGAGCATCTCCAAAAGACACTCTATAACACCAAATATAGAGTTTTTGGCTCTCTAAAAATAAACTTCAAAACTTCAAATTTGAAGTTTTGAAGAGTAAAACTTCATATTTGAAGTTTCAATTCCTAAAACTTCAAATTTGAAGTTTCATCTTTTTATTTGCATTTTGGTCTTTACAATTAATTATATATTATATTTATGATTTTTCAATATTTTGTCAGAAATTATATTTTATAAATATTTCAGATTTGTTTTTATAAATTTAAGTTTTTTACATAAAAAATTCAAAATAAAATTTATATTATTTAAAAACTAAAAGCAGACTTCACGAATATTACAAAATAAACTTTAAAAGAAAGTTTTAGAAAGGTACATGAAAGGCATACTTATTACATAAATTTAAATATTACAACAATATTAATAGTATGGTAAATTTTCTCTGAAACCTTCAATATCTCCAAAATATTATCCAAATAAGTATTGTGTGACTGAAGATGAAGCATTATGGAAATAATTTCATGAAATAATGAGATATTTTGTTTGTAGTTTATTATTTAGTTATGTATTTCTATTTACATTTTTATATTTTAGAGTAAATATTTTTAATTAATATTCTTGTTATATTTTTCATAAAAAATATGAATTTCTATTAAATGACAAATGTAAGGACCGTAGAGTAAAATACAAATAGTTTTAAAGTTAGATTTGAAGTTTTGTTTTTGGAGAAGAACACATTGAAACTTCAAAAATAGAGTTTTGCAAACTCTAAAATAGAGTGTCTTTTTGAAGATGCTCTTATGAATTAAATTGTCCAAAATCTTAGTTTCAAGAACACTAGAAATGGTGTAAACATGGAATCATTAAAAACCAAACTATTTAAATAACAATGAACTTTATAAGTCACCAAAGAATCATAAAACCAATAACACTAAATTTTACTAAGAATCTTAGAATCCTTTTTTTTTTTTTTTTTGAAACAAGAATTTTAGAATCCATTAACCAATAACAATGGAATTAGAGAATTTTAACAATCATTCTAAATTCACACCCCACTAACACCCCCTAATTTAAAAAAAAATGACAACTATAAAAAAAAAGAAAATAAATACTAAAATTTTATAAATAAAAAGTTTAAAGATAATTTCAAAAGGTTTTTTCGAGTTTTAAAAGATTAAAAAACAAATTGAAAAGAAAATTTCGAAATTTTGTTTGTAAAAATTTAAATTTTAAAACATGTATGTCAAAATTATATAATTTTATTATTATTATTATTATTATTATTTATATATCTATAAAATAAGGAGTATAATGACTTTTTAGATATTTAATAAAACTTTTTTTGGTCATTAATTTTTCTTTCCCTTTCTCCACCACACTTTAAAAGTTAATAACAATCAATAAAATTCTACACATAAGTCATGAAATCTATGTAAAACTATTTGATAAATTTTTTTAAATCTAGGTAACTTGTAAAATCTTCCTAACTATTAGAATCATCAAATTCCATAAAATTTCACGACAATAACCCCCCTATTTTTATAAAAGTCAAAACTCTCCTCTTCATTGAAGTCTGAACTTCTCCAGCTTTTGCCTAAGAGCCTCAATTGCATTATGTATCTTGTTTCTTTCTCTACTTCTCACTTCTAAAGACGTCTCATGCAAGTTTTGAATCCCATGACTCAATTTCGCAATGGAAGGAGCTGAAGGAAGAGAAACAGCTGCACATTATATCCCATCTCCGTAGAGAAGCAGTCATGCACAAGTTGAAAGACTGGCTCCAAACGTTGCCAATGGCAAGGCACCAATAGGTTTTGCTCTTCTTTTCCGCATCATCTCATAGAATGCAGCTCTCATTTAAGAGAAGTTCCACTACAAGAAAACTAAGCCTTTATTAGGAAATTTTACTAGGAAAAATGTTCCTCGTAAAATTACTAGGCCTTACTTCGGGTTTACGACAAAATCAAATTTCCTCGTAAGATCCTCGTAAAATTAGGAGAAAACGTGTTCCTCGTAAGACCGTAAAAATTTTACGAGGAGCTTACGAGGAAAAAGTACAGTTCCTCGTAAACCCGTAGTACTGCCTTTCCTCGTAAAATCATAGTAAATGTTTACTACGAAATTAGGAGGAAAGAGTTTTGTTACTACGAAATTAGGAGGAACTGGATATAAAATATCGAATTTAAATCAAAAACGTGTTTTGAACCTACTTTTCCTAGCAATTTCATAGTAAGTACTCAGATTCGAAAATTTCTATAAATACCACCTTATGTGATTCATTTGAAACACACAAAAAAAAATCAGCTATAAGCTTGATCAAACACAAAAAAATGTCCGGTCCGGGAAATATTTTCGAGTTGCGGCAGTGGATGTATTCACACAGAGATAATAACGGGAGGGTGGCGAAAGAATTTCTGGAAGGGTTGGAGACGTTTATGCATCAAGCAGATTCTACACCACTCACGCAGGAAAGTGGTAAGATGTTCTGTCCTTGTCGGAAATGCTGCAATACCAAATTAGACCCTCTTGACAATGTTTGGAAGCATTTAATAAATAGAGGTTTCATGCCATATTATTATATTTGGTATCAACATGGAGAAGATGCTAGTTGTAGGAATGAACGTAGCAGTAGTAATCAGGTTGAACCGGTTGATCATTTGCGTAATGAAGGTACCAGTAGTTATAGCTATCATCACCAAGAGGAACAAATGGTAGATTGTGATAGGGTTCATGATATGGTAGGTGATGCATTTGTAACTCATGATCATGATGAAGTTGAAGAACCTAACTTAGATGCAAAAAAGTTTTACGAAATGTTAGAAGCTGCAAATGAGCCAATTTACAGTGGTTGTAGAGAAGGTCTGTCTAAATTGTCGTTGGCTGCTAGAATGATGAGTATTAAAACCGATCACAATCTACCTGAAAATTGTATGGATGCATCGGCAGACTTGTTATTTATTTATTTTTTTATAATTTGGTTTTTTTAATTTTTTTAAATATATATAATTTTAATTTATAAATATTTTTTTTTAAATAGGAAAAAATTGTTTCGAAGCAAAATCCTCGTAAAGGTTTCGAAGTAAACTCCTCGTAAACTTTCTTAGCAAGTTCCTCGTAAAGATCCTACTACGAGATTACGAGGAAATAGTTTACATGCGCTTACGAGGAAAGCTTACGTGGACCTTACGAGGAAAACTTATCCACGCATTTACGAGGAAATGTTTCCTCGTAAATTAGCTAGGAAATTACGAGGAAAATATGCTTTACGATGAACGTCTTTCGACAAAACGCGTTTCCTCGTTATTTCCTAGTAAAGGACCGTTTACTAGGAAATAACGAGGAAAACTCGTCCTAGTAAAGGACGTGTTTTCTTGTAGTGTTCGTCTTCTCAACTGAAGCTATAATACTATGTGTTACTGCTCTGATTTTCTCAGTTGATAAAGAAGCTTTCACCAAAGACGTCGATTTGGCTCAGAAGCTAGCAAAACCAGGAGCAATCACTTTTGAGGGATACACCACTTTGGTAAATGCATATGTTGTTGCCTTGTGGGTATATGTCAAGAAGAGATTCAATGAAGCTGGGACTTTGAATGTTATAATTTTGAAGAAAGGAGAAGCATAAATGGCTTTGGACAGTGGTGAAGCACCCCAAATAGCATTTGCTCCTGCACCAACCGCTACCATTGGTTTATCAGATAACAGACGTTTCAACTTTGAGTTATCATTACTATTCTCGTCTTTATCAAAATCATGTACCATATGCTCAGAAAAATCTTTGACTTCTTGAGGAGCACAAGTCTTCCAATGCTATCTGAGACCTTTATGTCACTCTAATTACCCTAAGGAGTGACTTTACGTTCTAAAATAAGAGATTCAGTTGTAGTACGTAAAGATTGAATCCACAAAGAGTTAGGGCACACAATAGATCTAAGCAGTTTATGATTAAACTAAGCTAGTAATTTAATAATTCAGTAAATGTAGTAAATTAGGTCGAATAAGGTAGTTGTTCTTAAGGGACTAAGAGTTGTTTGATGGAAGGTTGGTTGCTAGACTTAAGGTTTCTATTCAGGTAATCGGGATTATAGAGATATATGTGCTAAGTTGGAGGATATATTAGAGCTCAACTAGGGCATAAGTCTATCAGATGTCGCATGTTTGGACGAGTCTATTGACTAGATCTATGGTCTCAGTTGTTGCATGTTGACTAATAGAAAGTGTCGATCAATCGGCTTCTAGCTAAGCCATATGGTAAATAAGTCGATATTGAAATATACTCAGCCCTCATTATGGGATCACCATTGATCGACACCAAAGCTGTGCCAGTTATCGACAGTCCTTCATCTTCTCGACAGTTTCCTCTCGCGAGGCAGACTCTTCACTAAAACATGCATAACTTCTGACCTAACTATTGGATTGACCTTAAACCGGTGGTATTGGAAAGCTAAATCAACACTCTATCCTGTGTCAAAATAAGGGCTCAATCGCACCGTGGAAAGATCTCCATAAAAAGCTCCAAAAGGTACCAAAATCACCACTTTCCTCCAAATCGTCTCTGGACCTGTAAATACTCTAAATAGACTCTATATCGTAGTAAATATATCCTAAAACACTTATATACCATTTCTAATAATGGGTAAATAAATCCATGGTATATCAAACTTGTGAGGTTACTTGCATCTACTACTTCTAGTATGTTCTTAAACTTTTTAGTAGGGGTGCACGTTCGGGTTCGAATCAAATATTTCAGATTTTTGGAGATTTTAGTATAGGGGTTTAGTATCCGTTCGAGTATTTCTACACTTCAGATCTTTTTCGAGTACTTTTATTTAGTTAGTTTGAGACGGATTCGGATATTTAACTTTTGAAAAAATAAAATTATTCATTGCTTAAATTTCTTGTATTTTAAAATCAGTCTTTAACTTAACTGATTTTTATTTTTTTAATAGGATGTTTAATTGGTTTGGAGACAAAGTTGTAAGAACAGAAAGACATTAACTTGATTTTTTTTTTGAAATTTTGGATGTAACTTTTGTTAATACATGAATAAGAACTTGACATGCATTTTAACACTTTGTCCGAAATTTTATATATATATATATATATATATATATATATATATATATATATCTTAATTCAAGTGTACATGAATATAAATATTTTTAAAAAAAATTAAGAGAACTAAACTAGATCGAACTATATGATTAATTATACATATGTTCAGTTATCTTTCAGTATCTATTCGGATGCGGATAGTACCCATTCGGGTTTGGATATTCAATTTATTCTAATTCAATATCCATTCAGCTATTTTGCTATTTCATTTCGGATTTCAGTTCAGGTTTTTGAGGTCGGGTTCGGATATGGATTCGGGTATCAGGTAAAATGCCCAGTCCCTTTTTAACCTGGATGCGAAGGAAGTCTGCCATAAATGCATATGATTTGTCCTCAGAAGAGAGCTCAGAAAACTGAGATTCTCCATCTATCGGAACATCTATTTTTTTTTACAAGAGACTGTATATACTTTTTAGAGAAAATGACTATATCTCCTTGTTCAAAAATGCAGGCGCGTTACCAGAAAATTGGCCGGAAAATCGCTGATCGGTGACTCACCGTGGCCAACAGAACCTGATCGGTGTGGCTAGCCTGTGAAGCAATTTTATCCCGGATTAGCCGCATAACTGAGGAAATTGGCGCTTGAATTTCTAAGGCCATTTGGATATGTTCTTACATTCCTTTAAAAATCATAAAAACCCAAATTTTCCCCAGAAAACTCTTAATAATAATAGTCCCTAGCTGTATATAATCTTTTTGGGGTGTTTTTGCTAAGAACTTTCTGAAAAAATCAGTCGTAAAGACTTGAAGATGGCTGTGTATTAGGTCTGGAAAATCGCAGAGGAAAGTTGAAGATAAGAGTGTATTGGTCATTTTACTTTCACTAAAGCTAAAAATAATAAATGTCAAAAATGCACTAGCCTTTGTTCAAACTTGTAACATGTAGGAGCTTTATGGAAGACACTAACCACTAGACGAGGAAGGAATACTTTGTCATGTAAGCAAATTTATTACTATGGGTAAGAAAAATTGATGATAGCAATGATGTATCTTTAATAAATATGTATTAAACAAATTTTTGTATTAGATGTATAAAATGTGACACTATATGTACAAAAGTATAAAAAATTCTTTCCCGTGTATTCTCCGATTTTTTCCGCTTTTCTAATAAATCGCTAGACCCGTGTGTACCGCATGTGTAACCTCTAGTGAATTTCCAAACAAGGCTATATACCTATATTTGAGGAGAAATTTCTTAACATACCAATAGTTGATAACCATTTTCAAAAATACACTTGATATAAAATAGATATTATTTGAGTCTAGTGTTTAGTAATTATTGTTAAGGGTTTAATATTAAGGTGACGGGATTGAGTATTTATGTTTACGAATAACGTTTGAAACATATATTAATGATTTAGAAAAGTCAATTTAGTTTTTTTCATCACAAAGTTAATATATCTATGAAAATGATAATCAGTTAAGAATAAATTTGAAAAAATATCGAATTTTTGAATTTTAAATTTCCCCAAACTTGAGATCTTGTTAACTCTCTTATACCTAGATAAGATATTATTAATGCACCTAGTTTTGTGGTATGAGGTTATTCTAATGAGAATACAATGGAAGTGCTCTAGTGTCTCATGTATTTTTTTTGTGTTGTTTGGTCTAACCGTCTAAGTCTCCAAATTATATTTTAATTATTTATTATGATTTTTTTTTTCAGTTCTTTAGTCAGTTTATGAATTTCTTATGTTTACCAAATTGGTATCAAAACATTGTTCAAAGTTCAAAACTAAACATTAGTAATTTATAAAAATTTAGATCTTTTCTGGATTCAATTTAATAAATTTCTGATATATATTAAATGAGATTTTTTACTCGTATAATTTTATGATTATTTGTATCTTTTCATAAAAAAAAATTTAAACTATTAATCACAACAATTTTGGTGTGGAACTTTTAATATTTTAGTAATTTATATTCATTAAAATTCAAAATATACATATATGAAAAATCATTTTTATTATCTAACTAGTGATCGGTCTGTGGTATGCGCATGATATATTTCTTTTATGTTTTATAATAAGAATATATTTTATCAAATGTAATCATTAATATTCTAATCTACTATATATTTGGTTTACAATTAATGTCATAGCTTGTGGCAAGTTTAACTCATTGGATAAACGGTTAAGAATAAAAATTATATTTTTGAATTGTATGTGAGTTTTAGTAGTTGTGATATATTGTTTAATTAAGTGTGGTTGTTTTGTACATATAATAAAATTTAATTTTTGAAGAGCGAGTACTTTGATAGAAAGAATATGTGAAAGTTAAAACGATAATGTATTATTTAGTGGCAAAAAACGTAAATGGTGTGGCTTTAAAGGTCATAATCTTGTTGACATTGTTATTTTGACTTTTGAGCCACTTTGTCGAGGATTGGTAATGATTGCATGAAGTTATTGATTGGTTAACCCGGGAGATTTATTTAAGGAGGTTTTTGAGGTTAGAGAATGACTGATTTACATTTGTTTTGAAAGATAGATTTTGGAAACAGTTGTTGGATTAAATTGGAGGTCGCTAGTCTTTTATATCCGTGATTCCGTGTATATGGCACAAAACATTTCTAGTGATTTATATGTGAGTTAATAAATTTATTTATTGATAGTGGTAATGTTGTAGGCTAACGTAGGTGGATTTTAGTTAATGCATCAAACATTTACAACAAAGCAGAATAAAGTGTGCTCGTAATAATTATATTTAAAGCTTGAACATATTGTTGTTTACGTTTGTTCACTACAAGAAAACTAAGCCATTACTAGGAAAATTTACTAGGAAAACATTTCCTCGTAAAAATACTACTAGTTTACTTCGACTTTACGAGGAAACATCTTTTCCTCGTAAGGTTCTCGTAAACTTACGAGAAAAGCGTTTCCTCGTAAAGTGGAAGTAAATTTACGAGGCTCTTACGAGGAAAATAATATTTTCCTC